CTCCTCCTCTTTACTCAAATTTGGTAGTTGCATCATATTCCAGAGCCAGGAGACAGAGGCCTAGAATGGGTCGTGTAAGAACTGTCAACACAGTAGTAGTAACTATTGCCATTTCTTTAAAATAAGCACACCAGGAAAAGAAATGAAATACCAAATCCCCTGTGAACTACTTGAAGAAAGAATATAAAGATTCACAAGCAGAACTGAATTTCTTTTCAGTAGACCCTCTGAAAGCTTTATTAAGTGTTACGTATTGACCTCACACCACCGTAAGACCTTTTCAAATACCTTTTAACAAGAGTAAATACCTTAGAGACACTCTTATATTCAACATAAAGCTGGTTGTTTTTATGTAGCTTACATGTGCAAAAAAAACCACCTGATAATCCACGTCCCAAATTGCACTGATTTTACTTAATGGGTATAAAAGTCACTAATTATAGTGCAATTTATCTGCACCAAATCTAACTGATAAACAAAGGACTGAATTGCACAAATATCCAGCTTCTATGAAAATAAAAGTTAATTGTTTTAGAACTACTATTATCTTTTAAGCTAGTCCATTCCCAACAGGCAGTTCAGTTTCTCCCTTTTAAGAATTAATTACTCTGTTAGCTCAATTGTCACTGTAGAATTTCTTGAACATGCAATCATAATTATGAGCATGACTGCTTCTGAAAAAATTCCTCGGTCTCACCCCATTCAGGTGGGCCACAAGAAGTTAACCTCCATTCATACACTGAAACTTGCCATCGTACAGAAGACTTTCAGCAATGGTTTAAGCTACCTACTTCATTGCAACAGGCTAGAAATACATGCGGAATAGGTTACTTTAGCCACAGTTGAGGGGGCAGAAAACTCTTAAAGCATGTCGTCAGAATGATCTGGAGAATGTGCTGCAGTGTCTTCAGTTTTATTTGACAAGAGAAATAATTTAAGAACCTGCTTTTGCAAAGACTCAGGATCTGCTGCCATTTTCTATGCAGTCCTCAGGGTAAATACTGTCACTCTAGGAAAAGGGTCTAATTTTAAATCTTGGGATGACACAGCCAATTACAGCACTGCTCTACAGTTTCAGTCTCTGCTTCCCAAAAGCACACTAACTGCACATCCTTGTGTTTACAGAAATAACAAATGAACACGCATGTTGTAATATCCTTTTACCACATTCTCCAGTAGTCCTTCAGAGGAGGATCTGCACAGTAAACCCAGGATAAACACAACTACAGCTTAGACTGTAGACAGCTGAAATGGCTTGCTTTTTTCAAGCTGCATTAAAATCTAGTGCAGCTATTTATAATAAAAGCATCCTTTACCAAAACAACACCTTAGCAAAGAGTAAAGAAGAGTCCAAAATTTCCACTCAAATCAATCTTTAACTCCCATTGGGAAAGATGATAGAATAGGCTTTTCTACTCCCTGAGCAGGTGAATGTTCAGATGAAGGCCTGAAAGATTTTTAGGTATTTACACAGGGTCACTTTCCTGAAACAGTACTGCAATGTTTTGTTAATACTGTTGAGAAGTTCTTAAGAGGAAATGATTTCAAGCTAAAAAGAAAATGTTAAAGACAGATTTATTCATTAAACTAAAACACAGTAAAACCATACAGAAATCATGTAACTACAAAGTGGAAATATTTGAAACAGGAGTAGTGTTCATACAGAAGTCTTTTTAAAGTGCACAAGACCTGGAAGAACAAATTATATTAACAGCTCATCATTAGATTTGAAGCTGCTTTCATATGGACTTAAAACAATTTTAAAGATAGTACCTGTTACACTTTCGACAGTGGTGTGAACGTGGTGCCTTATAAGACTGACACACTTTACAGTATTGGAGATACATGCAATCCTGAGATTTCTCCTTTAAACAGAAGAACAGTTGTGTTAGATGTATACATAATTCTGTTGGCAATACACATCTTGACACTTTCCTAACCTAAGCATCTTTGCTTTCTTCTGGCAGGGTGTGTTTCATAACCCAACCCTATTTAATGGTAGGTGATGAGGAAATATGAAATAATGAAATAATTCCTTGATATCAACACAGCCACCTCTCACTGTTGAAAGTGCTGGTTGCTAAAAGAAATAAACAGTTCTTTCATCAGGAACAGTGTAGTAGCAGGGCTCCCTAGTGAAGTTCTGGGAGTAAAAAAAAAAAAAGTATGAGGCCCTTATAATTTTTTGAAAATAGCTTCTGCACCTTGTCTCTTCATTTTATGCCATGAGCCAATCTGGACTTACTAATGAGATGCTGTACTGGCAAGCATTAATGTTCAGCTATGGTTGACAAGAAGCCTAGCATGACCTGGCAATGTGCACTGACAGCCCAGAAAGTCAACCGTACGCTGGGCTGTCTCACAAGGAGCATGATCAGAAGGTTGAGGGAAGTGATTTTCCTCCTCTACTCTAGTCTCATGAGACCCCAACTGGAGTACTGCGTTCAGCTCTGGGGCCCCCAAGATACAGAGGATGCGGACCTGTTGGAGTGAGTCCAAAGAAGGTCACAAAGACGAACAGAGGGCTGGAGAACCTCTCCTAGGAAGACAGCCTGGAGAAAAGAAGGCTCTGAGAATACCTTATAACAGTCCTCCCATAACTAAAAGGTGCCTACAAGAAACTTGGGAGAGGGATTTTTCACATGGGCACGTAGGACTAGGACAAGGAGAAATGGCTTTAAACTCAAAAAGAATACATTTAGATTAGACATTAGGAAGAAGTTCTTTACTGTGAGGGTGGTGTGACAGTGGCACAGGTTGCCCAGAGAAGCTGTGGCTGCCTCACCCCTGGCAGTGTTCAAGGCCAGGCTGGACGTGGCTTGGAGCAACCTGCTCTAGTGGAAGGTGTTCCTGCCCATGGCAGAGGGTTGGAACTGGATGATCTTTAAGGTCCCTTCCAACCCAAACCATTCTATGATTCTAATTAGTTATTTGCCACGTCTCTCACACAAACCCATGAGCCAAGTACAGCAAAATGACAGACTGGGAGACCTGTACATAGCAAGTAAATACTGGCCAAAATATTCTGTTTATAAAGTGGAATGCTCAATTATTCTGCTAGATTACATTAGGATCCTCTTGTCGCTAGACTCTGTCCTGAGAAATATTCCATGAATAGAAATGTGATTACCACTGATCTTCATTTCATGCCACTGGACCACAAACTCTGGCCAGCTCTCTTGAGATACTGAGCCTTTATCAGTAGGTCCTTCACTACTACTCGTCCAAAAGATTACTAAAGCAAAGGAAATGGAAATTTCTACCTTATGTTCAATACACTATTGTAAGTTAAGATAAAGATAAAATTTTCTGGCTCACATAAAAAAAAATAAAATAGATTTGCTCAATGAAGTTCTTCTAACCCTTATCACTAGCAGCAAAGTCTTCAGTGCTGGCAGGAGCATGCCGATAACCTTGAGGCTCTCATTGCTGGGTAGCAGCACTTGTTTCCTGTTGTTTTGATTTGAGAAGCAGCTATAAAACTTAACGTCTCCTGCCAGTAAAATGACGTTACCATCCTGCTCCAGATCACTGTAACTGACGGAACAGGGAAGGGATGGACGGAGCTGGAGCACACTGGACACGCTGCGAGCAGCAGCAGGGGGGCGAAACACTAAGATGTTGAAACAAGATAAGGAGCGAGGAGTGGCCCGAAGGGCTGGCTGTATCCTTCGAAGGGAGCTGGGAAACACCGGCATCAAAAGACAAGCGACTTGTACCGTCCCCCTGACCCCTGCACACAGTCCCCTGAGCAGGGCCGGCCCCGGCGCAAGAGCAGAACCCCCGGTCCCCCCACACCCGCCGCAGCCAGCCCGGGAGGAGCGATCGAAAATCAGCACTTACCGGCGTCCACCCCAGCGGGACGTACCCCGGGCCGACAAACATGGCGCTGAAGTAGTTGTAAAGGATCATGACGGTCCAGTTGAGTAGCATGATGAAGTTGACGCTTCCTCCGGCGGTATCCAGGGGCCAGTACCACAGCGCGGCGTCCGCCATGGCGGTGGCAGAGCACACGGCCACCACAGCCAGGGCCACCAGCGGTCCCCAGTGGCACAGCCGCCGCACGCGGCCCAGCCCTCCCGGCCCATCCATGGCTGCTACCGGCGCCCGGCCCTGCCCTCCCGGCCCGTTCGTGGCCGCCACCGGTGGCCGGCCCACCTCTCCCGGCCCGTCCATGGCCGCTACCGCCGCCCGCCCGCTGCTCCTGCCGCCTCGCCGCCACCTCCACGCATGGCTCCCGCCACGCTCAGCCCCGCCGGCAGCCGACACAGAGGAAGCGCCGTGAGGAAGGGGAAGGGGAAGAGGAGGTGTCGGGGCCAGCAGGGGCTCAGCCCCGCCCCGCAGCCCAGGGAGCGGAGCCCGCGCTCGCCTCCGCCCGCCGGCGCCTTCGGGTCGGCTACCGCCCCCCAACAGTCCAATGGCAATAGAATCCCGACGGGAAATAGCGTCCTGCCGGTCGCGCCGCAGCCTCGTCTTTCCCCTCCAAGGCCACGGGAGTTGCAGGGTGTGAGCGGGCTGCCGGAGCGCCCGGGGTTGCAGTTCGAGCCCGCAAACGAAGGTGTGGCGGGGCGACAGCAGGGAGCCGTGCTGGTTGAAACACCTGAGCGGGGACTGAGAGTTCCGGCGGAACGCGTGGCGTGGTGCCCGGCGGCGGGGGGACGCCTTTGCGGGTAGCAGAACGCGGAAGCGGGTCGGTGCGGAGTGGAGGAGCTGAGCGCGGTGTCTCCGCGGAGCGTAGTGGGGCTGCGGCCTCCCGTGCTGCCGCCGCCATGTCCTCCGATTTCGAGAGCTACGAGCAGGACTTCGCGGTGCTGACGGCCGAGATCACGGGCAGGATCGGGAAGGTGCCCAAGCTGGTAGGAGGTGAGCGGTGGGCGCCTGAGGCGGAGTTGGGGTGGGGGGCTGCTCGCCTGGCGGCGCGCAGAGGCCGTGGTTTCCCGGCGCTGTTCGCCGCCCTCAGGGCTCTAACTCCGCACTGCAGCCCCGTCCTTCTCGTCTGCGAGAGCCTCTGCGGCTCCCGGAGCCTCCGGCATCCCAGCGGCAAGCGCTCGGCGTGGTGGCAGGAAGGTGTTGGTGTGTTTTAGCGTGCCTGTCCCAGCGACCCGTCACCCGACTGTGTTTTCTTGCTCCTTACGCAGCAGAGTCAGGATTCGCCTCCCTGGCCCGGGTGCACGTCTGTTCGAGCAGCGAGTTGTCTCTTGAAATGTATTGCGATTAACGGGACGGAATATTGTTTGCTGTAAGGATTAGCCCGTCTTTTCTGACTTGCCGTGCGGCCGCACAAAGTTAGGCCAGCACAGCTGAAGGGCTGAGCAGAGCAGGGGACACAGCTGGGCGGGTGTTTACCAGCATTGCTGCTGAATGCCTTTCGTTGTGATGATGCCACAATATCAGTCATGGAAATGGAGTCTTCACATAGCATAGACAGAATTTGTGTGTGATTTAACCCGAATCTCTGTTTTTGCTGCCTGCTATCAGAACATTTGGTCTGGGTAGTTGACTGAGGTGACATATAGGTAGGAGAATATGTAAAGAAATCAGCGTTTGTTTACTTTAATGTATTCGTCAACAGCCTGCAGCATTCATGGTTGATTCATGATGTATCCCTGAAGTAGAGATGATAATGCCTGTAAAATTGTTAGGGTAGAAAGCTTAAAGTTATAATCTTTTTACCCAGCCCAGCTGAATCTTCTACTGCATACGAATGAGTGCCTTAATATGGGGTTCCTCGTACAAGGCAGAGGGAAGTGGTTTTCTCATCATACAGCTCAGCTTAATGCCACTTCTGTTCCCAGGTCATTAAATATTTCGGCCTCTACCGCCTATACAAGTTTCCCAAAGCTTTAAGATACTTGAGCTGTAGGAGTGGATATAACTTAAGGAAGTAAAAACACGCTCATGGTACACTTTTCCATATGACTAAAGGAAAAAATATCATTCATCTGGGACCAAAGAATAACATCCTACTTTTAGAGTAGGAAATGTGTCATGAATCAGAGACTCTAAACAGGATTTGAGGTAGGTGGTTAACTAAAACATACCTCAGTGCAGTGTTAATTCAAGTATTAATAATATATTTAAAATGAATAAACAGGGATTTGAGAAAAAAATCTGATTCTGGAAGGTTATGTCCAATTCTAATCTTGGCAAGTTAGAAAGTCTTCCAAAAAAGTGGTGTTCAGTGACCAATCACAGGCATCATTAAAGGACAGGAAACTGCTTTTTCTTTGGCTTAACAAAACTGTTTTGCTGCTGAGCTTAACAAAAAGGACATGGGCAGATAATTCAGTCACAATAACAGTACTTGGAGGTAGAAAGCTTTTTCTATTTTGCAATGGCGATGACAAAATTAGAAGGAGGAGATCCAGACAGTTCCTGTGATTGAAATTTGTAGTGTGCTCAGAAATTATATTTAACCTATAACTAGCCACTAGAACAATTTGCCAAGAGGATGCAGTGAATTCACTAATATAAAGTACCTAACCACAGCAGTATTTTCCACTCCCTCACAAAGGTTTGTTCACTTTTAAACAGCAAATTTAAGGGCCTGTTTGTAGGAACAGGGAGCCATCATAAATACACTACTGGCTTCTCTTCTGAATATCAATAGTGCTACACTGATTTATGGAAAGAGAATAGAGATTTGATTTCCTAATTCTGTAGATTTTGGAAGTCGTCAGTGTCTGTTTCATAGTGGAAGTATATCCTGCTTAGTAGTAGTGGATTTCCATAATCCTCTCCTTGAAGCAGACTCCCTTATTCACTTAGGGAGACTTTAGAGCTTAAGTACAAGATATTTAAAGAATATGTTCTTAAACAGTGGCATAGCCTAGAAGCAGCAGACTTTGAAATTGTGATTCGTTTATGTGGCCATTAGAAGGCTGTTTTGGAATTTGCCATCCTCTCAAGGAGAAAGAATGCATGTTCCCTGTGGGACCAGTAGTGTAGTAGTGGGCTTAATGGCTTTAAGAGAAGACAATGGTTGATATTTTATTTTTTTATTTTAGAGGTGACTTGTCATACATGGTTTGGACTGCCTTGCTTTATAGCTGCTTCTTGCAATGTACATTTATGAGTGGGTGTATTGCTTCAGTTTTCAGGGCTCTTTTGTCTTTCATCAGAAAAAAAAATCCTGTACGAATTCAACACAAATGGCAGTCTTTACTACTAGAGACGTTTGACCACTTGAAAAAGAGCACCTAAACAATAAATCTCTGACTATGCTGAACACTTTAATCAGAAATATTTTAAATACACGTTTTTCCCTTGTTTCTTAATAGGAATATTTGCAAGATCTTTGCTTCTTCATCACCAGAAGTTCCAGTTAGTTCTTGTGGAGATGGCTGGGACAGCCTCAAAAGAGGATTGTGAGGTGGGAGGGGGACGTGAGGAGAGCTGCATGTGAGGTGGCAGTTTTCAGCAGCAGTGATTTGAGAGAGATTGCTGGTGGCCTTCTTCCTCCACGCTGGAAGAAGCAGGATGAAAGGTGTAAGGACTTGTGCTACTTCCACGTAATACAGAGAGATCTTCTGAAGTCTAGAGACTGGTTCATTTCCTTCTGCTACTGAAGATGGACCTGCTGTAACCTTCACATTCAGTCAAATTGGAGAAATACTGGTTAATTGTTTTTGCAACATTCCTGCAGTTGGTGTTGTCAGGACTTGATGCTGTCTTGTGTTCTAGGAGGATGATGGCTCAACAAACAGTCCTATTGTCACAAATGCGTAAACAGTTCAGCAAGAAATGTAACAAAAGCACTGTGCTACAGAAGCAATAAGCAGCAGGGACAATAGAATTTCTTGGGAAGAAATGTCTTTTTTTAAGGTGAACATCATCTGGAGAATTAAAAAAAGCAGTCTAAATAGAGAAATAACTTCTAAATGTTTTTTTTTTCTGTGATGCTGCTGCAGGTCTTTGAAGAATGTTTTATTAATATCCTTGGTGTTTCAGAGAAACATCTATCTTGTGCTTTGACCAAAAATTTACATAAATTTCAATTGCTTGATCTGAAAGAGTTTTTCCAGCACAAATGGTGACACTTAGTCTTTTCTGAGCACAGTAGCCACTGGTCATGATGGTTTTAGACTTGAGTGCTATCATTCTTCTGATACTCAATACCTGCATTTTCTACTGGGCAATCAAAGCACTGTATTTCAGTCTCTAACAGATTTAGCTGAGGAAAGTCCCTCCTTTAATTTTCTGTTATACCCCTGTACTGGAGTGTACTATTTCCGTTTCAGGTCTGGCTCATCATGTGGTGCCCCTTGAACCCAGTTTTATAACTGAACCCACATATCGTTCCATTTGTCTCTGCTGTTGGGCAGTAACTTCTGGCACAAACACGTAAACCTCTTCAGCAAACGCAGCACAATCTGCAAGTTGTCTGTGAACTGAAGCCCTTTGTTACTCAGACTCTTCCTCAGCATGTACTAATAAAAAGAAGCAATTACACAAGCAATGAGACTACTCAAGTTTTGGTCCACATTTTTTTAGTCTCTTCATTGGTTATGAGATCAAACCAGTGCTGTGTTATCTTTCTACACTTGTAGGCAGATTTGTGCCTTTCTGTAACTGCTGTATTTTGGGGCAAAAGAGTGACTAATGCAAGGGCAGAGTTGAAAGAACTGAGGAGAATGTAGTAAAAGCTTGTTTCTTTCAAGAAATTGATACAACTTTGTGTGCAAACACAGAACGGATTTCTTTGCACGCAATTCTTATATGAAGGAAAAAAACCCACTTTTGTTTCCAGTCTTTATTTTTATCCATCTTTTGTGAATTTGACCAGTTAAAGAAAATACTGCATGTAGCTTGTATAATTTAGGACATTCTGTCTAGCAATTTGGAGACAAAAATAGTGTTCTAAATTTAGGTATATTTAATGGAATATTAGTTTTTATTTTCTCTAAAGAATATTATTCTGAATTAAGAAGGAAATGTCATAATCCCCCTTTTATTATGATGGAAGTGTATTTAAGGAAATGATCAAGTAGGCAGATTGAAAACTGCTAAGACACAGTGCGGTAATACAGTTAGCAATGTGAGGATGTTTAATTGTATCATAACTTGTTTGTCCTGATCCACTAGATTAGTGGCAGGCTTCTGTTATTCTGAGTAACTCCCTCTGACCTCATCTGCAGTCTCTGAGAAATATCCTGTGGATATTGTGCCCTCCTTTCTATGGAGATGCTGACTGTGACAGTAAACTGGAAGTAAATGGTTTGGAAACTATTCTGGCAAGTACTTTCTGATTGACAGTGTTGTACCCTTTCATGCTTCTGTTGCTGGTGTCGACAACAGGCAGGCCTGGAGTTATTGGCAGTCCTGCTGACAGGTGGCTTCAGGCAGCATACTCCCACCAGGATTTTACGAGGATGTGGCTAAAGAAAAAGAGAGGAAAGCAAAACCGAGTGGGTGATACTTGTACTTTGGTCAGCTTCCCTTTCCTTACCAAAGTAATGCTGCTGGATCCTGCCACCCCTTCTTGCTCTGGGGAGTGCATGGTATTGTGTGCCTTGGAGGATCAGTAGCTGGAACAAGTTCAGCTGCTTTCCTGGAAATCCATGAAGATCCTGCTCCAAAGCTGCAGTGCTGGGATGTTGCCATGTGCCTGCTCACACATCTGTATTGGAGAGAGCAACAAAGGCGCGTTGTCGGTACGCCTTGCTCCTCGCAGTTACTCTGGTCACCAGCTGGGTGATTATGTATTGATAAGCCTGGGATGATGTTAAAATACAACTCTAGAGTTGGATGAAATTTTAATTAACTAAAGAAGATCATTTGAGTGTCTCCCCAGTTTTATGGGAGCAATTTCAGACAGACCTTGTGTACTAATGAGTTTTCCCTACCAACGATCTGTAGTGTAATATCTGTGTGGGTAGGTAAGACTTGCTGATCAATGAAGCGCTAGGTGGTTCTTGTAATCACAAGTACACACAGAATTTGTATAGCATGAAGTATCTTCTCCAAAGTTGCAGTTTTATATCCCTAAATTTCAGGTTACTTAATGTATATGGAAATTGTAATCCGGTAAAATTCAGGGAAATGCGGGAATTGCTATAGTATGTTTATTTTCTGCTGCTGTATTTTTAAATTTTATTTCAGCTTCAATAAAATGGTATTTTGTGTTTTATCTTACATTGTTTTTCCTTTTATCCATCGTCATTTTGCTCTCTTCCAAGTGATGGAAAGAGCAGGGGTGTTTTGGGAGGCTGGGTAGGAGAATTGGAATGTACAGGCAAACAAGTGGCAGCTTATCTTTTCTTTTGGGTTTAAGTTATGTTAGGAAGATAAATCACTAATAGATTTTTTTTTTTTGGCTTGGGTGTCATCATGAGAACCTGCTGGGGAATTAAAGACATTGCTAACAGAGAATTCTAAGTGCTGCACAGAAATGAACATGTCCTACATCTTCTGCTGTAGTAGAATCCCCCAGATTCTACTACAATGGCAATGTAAATTTGAGGTTTTCAAGAAAGATGCTGTTTTTTCCATGGCTTTAGCTTTGTAGAGAGGAAATGTAAGTAGTCAAGTATTACTTGTATATGTAAAACGTAAAAATCAAGTAATGCGGAATTTCTGGGCCTCTTTCAAGATTAAGAAAGGAAATTCTATTTGGGAAGATTTGGAGGTGAGCTCTAACTTTTAATTCTTGGGGGTTGTAAGTGCTTCCTCCTCGCTTCTGTCACTGTCAGAGTTCTCTTTATTCGGAGGGATTCAGTGTTCTTATTCTTTAGTGTAGACTAAGAGTTTATTCCAGCTGTGTTTTGGTAGTATGTTACTTAGTTCTTTCTGCTGCCACCCAGAAACAGCTTGGTTTGTTCATATAGGATACAGCAGAGTTGGAGCTTGAGACAGTCTCAGCTTCAGGTGAACCTTATCAGCACTGGACCACTTGCTTGTCCAGTCCAGTCTCAGAAGGAGTATGCTGCCTATCCAGCTGGCTATAATACATTCTTGGGCTTCTCTGAGAGGAATTTTTCCTCAGTGAAGGATCTCATACTGTAGTCTTAATTTTGGACTGTAAAGGAATTACCCGCATGTCCTACTATACTATAGCAGCTTCTTGGGTGATAACCCAGTGCATGTGATTTATTCTTATGGCTCTGCCTTATGAATGATGGTGTATCTTCAAATGACAGCTGGTTGTTTGCAAAGATCTCTGTTATCTTAAAGGTGGAAAGATGATCCTGAACCTGATCCTTTCTGCAGGCCGAGCTCCAATGTATGTAAGTGAAGAAGGATGGATCATGATGTTCATGTGTCCTTAAATTGAGAGTGTAGTGTATTTTAGGTAAAAGAAGATAGATGAGTAAGCCCAAGCTTTTAATGAAGGATGTTTTAAAGGTATGTTTTGGTTGCTACCCCAGTTCCTGCCTATGGCACTAAATTTACTTAAAAATAAAGCATTTTGACATGTTGGAAGCTAAATTGTATACGTGTAATAGAGGACGTCCCTCTTGAAATTCGGTGGCTTCTGGCATGCAGAAGATCAAAGCGGATCATCAGGTAGTCCCTTTGGTCTTTAATGTATCAATTCTAGGATACATGTGGAATAGAAGCAGCAAAGGAATTCAGGCTAAAAGAGAAAACTGTGAAGTCTAAAGATGCATAATAAAGTCTCTCATGCCAACATAGACTTACCCATTGCAATATCTGAGAAGCAATGACTGGAGGTACTGTTGTGCAACTCACTTTTTATCTACTTCATCAGGCAAATCACTGGCACAGATGTCATGATGCTCTCGGTGAAAATGTATAAATGGTTGCATATCAGAGTTTTGCTAACTTCATTGAGACAATAAGTAGATTTACAGTCTGAAGGATGAAAGTGTGGCCATGAGGGGGGCACGAGGCAATGCAATTGGTAGTATTGAAACCCCTGAATGCCCAAAGTAATTAAGCAATGTGGAGACTATTATCTAGTGACCGAATATTCCTCAGAAGTCTCCTTTCGTGCTGTAACGAACCAGGTGTTCAAAAAATAGGAATATTTGTGATGATGTGACCCTGAATCTCAATTCTGAGTTCACATTGGATTCTCTGAGAAGGGATGTTACGGGCGGGTTGAAAGTCAGACATGCTCTCTATAGCTAGGATAATAGACTTGCTGGGGACTGTGGCTGGTGATGATTTGCTACGTATAGCTTACAACTGAATTTTTTTTTTTCAAATTTTCATTTTTATTACTGATTTATGTTTTTTACTTTTACTAGAAGACAGTAGTTTTCTCTCTCTCATGGAGTTTCTCCCCCCGCCCCCCCCCCCCCCCCAAAGCAAAAGAAACTGTTCAAGGCCTGGTGTAAGAGCAGGGGTATAGAAACCTTGTTTTTCTTCAGTACGTGGTTTCATTATAAGTGGGATGCTTGGTTTTGTGCAGCTCATATTTTGCAAATAAATAGGATAAAGCTTTGTTCTTAAACCATAATTCATTTTTTTTTCTATTTTGCATAAGCATGTACCTTCTCATGCATTTATATGCACCCACTAAGTGCCTGCTGAGGCATAACTAACTCCTACACCTGGAGCAGCTGTAACTGCTTTTCTAACTAGCAAATGCTGTGTAACAAAGAAAAAGACTTCAAGGATTCTCCAGTCTCCTTTGTATGTTTGCCTTTTTCTTGTTAATTACTAATGTGTGTATTACAGTGAATGATGATTTCAGACAGGATGAATCCTTCGAGTCAGTTTTACCTGATATACATAAGCTTTTGAAATGGTGTGTTTTCCTTCCATGGCAAGAGCACAATTATATTGTTATTTTTACTGTTGTATTTCAGATGAGAAGAAGCAGATGGTTGCAAATATTGAGAAACAGCTCGAAGAAGCAAGGGAACTGGTATGTTCTGGCCTTTTGTATGCTAACTGCAAATTCCTAAGGAAAATAATAGGATCATTAGTGGTAACATTTAACACACATGATTCCCTAAAAATACTGAACAATAATAGAGAATAAAATAATATTCTTGAAATAGTTCTTATTTGAGTATATGGAATATCCAAGAGGAGTGTACCCTCTTTTAATTTTGTGTTAAATGATTGAAGATTTGCATTATTGCTGTAGGTTTATTACAGGCTGCTACAGGCTTTCAGCTGTGGATTAGGATTTTTACTTCAGGAATTGAATTAAATATTTACACACCTGGACTGTTGTTTGTTTATTGCTTGTCTTGTTTATTTTTTTCTCTTAAGACATGTGCATCTACTTGGTTTAAGCTGTCTGTCTTTTAAAGCAGTAGATCTTCTCCCTTCATTTAGCAAGTGAGGCAGAAAGATATTTAGTTGTTTGAGGTCAAGGCAGCAATGGTAGTGTGGGTTACTGATCTGAGAAGGGTATATGTGTTAACCAAGCATTACATAGTGGTCCATGCTGACAGAAGAAAGCAATATGTGTTAAGCAGTTGTGACTTCACTTTGTTCGATTGCAGCCTGCCATGTCCTCCATCTGGATGGAGTATAGAA